ATTTTTTTATGAATAATCTACACATTGAGACCGAAAAAATCAATGAATCAAATCATATATATATATATATATAATAAAAATAAAAAAAGAAGCGCCAATGGTGAGCCCACGGGCCATAACTGGACCGTCCAGTCCCTTTTAAGGGACCGAACGAAACTTTGGTTAATTTTATAATACATTTTTATTCTACCTATCTTTTTTGGGGCCCACTATGACAATAATCTGAGCTTCCAACAACCATTCATTTCTTTGAAGACGAAAACAAAACAGGGAATAAATATGAAAGGCTAAGAACTCAGGAGGCTAAGAAATGAATATAAGAAGACATTCATCAAAATTATAGAAAATTAGATTTTTTTTTTATTTTTTTAGTGAATAAGTCATAAAATAAAAACAGAAAAAATACAATATTACAAGGGAAATGCCCCAGGCCCTGCAGAACTATACAAAGCAAAAGACGCACAGCTAAAACCAAAAATAAAAGGCTAAGACAAGAGGCTAGCATCTAGACACAGAGCAATCTAAAACTCTCTAACCCATACTTCTGTTCAAAAACCATATCTAACATAAAATAGGGACCCTGAACAAAAAACAAGATACAGATGAAAAAGAGCACAGCTAGACAACACAACAACACAACAGAATGCAGCGTATCAGCACAACAGCAAACCAAACCAAAAGACTTTCTCTGTTTTTTGCTTCCCTCTTTACGCCTCCTCCTCTAACCCTAATCTCAGTCCTAAAGTCAAACAAGAAGGCGATGAAGAACAAGAATAAGAAAACGATGAAGAACAAGAACAAGAACAAGAAGACGCTCATCCTCAGATCTGTGCTTAGATTGAACAGATTTGTGTATATATCTTTGTCAATTTCTCTCTCTTTCTCTCTCTATTTACAGATTTTTTTTGAGATAGTTGTTGATCTATGGTTGTTGTTGTTGTTGATGATGAAATAGATCTATAATATCATTGAAACAGATCTGTAATGACTCAGATTTGTACAGATATCACACAGATTTGTAATGAGAAAATTTTCGAATTCTGAACAAGTAATTTTCGAGTTTTAGTTACAGGCGGTGAAAACTGTAAAATTTTGCAGTTTCAAATTTTTTTTTTGGTGCTGGAATGAATCATGGTTTAAAACTGTAAAATTTTACAGTTTTATAACATTTTTTAGAACTGTAAAATTTTGCAGTTTCATAACATGTTTTAAACATTCCAACGAGTCTCTGGCGATGTTGAACATTCCGAAGAGTCTCCGGCAACCGTTTGACGGAAGTCCGACGGTAGTAAGATGTGAACAGTGTCTGTAAATTAAAAAAAAAAAAAGAATTTTTTGGTAACAATTAAAAATGTATTGAACTAATTGGTACAAATATTTTGTTTTGGGATTAGCTAGGTTTTAAACTTAGAACATGGGACTTATCAATAAATTCCCAAAAAAGAAGCGCCAATGGTGAGCCCACGGGCCATAACTGGACCGTCCAGTCCCTTTTAAGGGACCGAACGAAACTTTGGTTAATTTTATAATACATTTTTATTCTACCTATCTTTTTTGGGGCCCACTATGACAATAATCTGAGCTTCCAACAACCATTCATTTCTTTGAAGACGAAAACAAAACAGGGAATAAATATGAAAGGCTAAGAACTCAGGAGGCTAAGAAATGAATATAAGAAGACATTCATCAAAATTATAGAAAATTAGATTTTTTTTTTATTTTTTTAGTGAATAAGTCATAAAATAAAAACAGAAAAAATACAATATTACAAGGGAAATGCCCCAGGCCCTGCAGAACTATACAAAGCAAAAGACGAACAGCTAAAACCAAAAATAAAAGGCTAAGACAAGAGGCTAGCATCTAGACACAGAGCAATCTAAAACTCTCTAACCCATACTTCTGTTCAAAAACCATATCTAACATTAAATAGGGACCCTGAACAAAAAACAAGATACAGATGAAAAAGAGCACAGCTAGACAACACAACAACACAACAGAATACATCGTATCAACACAGCAGCAAACCAAACCAAAAGAGCATAGGATATCAGCACAGTATCATATTAGCACAACAGCAAACCAAAAGAGCCAAGCAACCCAAAACAAGACAACACAGCAGCATGCAACATAGCAACAGATCAGCAGACAGATAACAAACGCAAATCTGTACAAATTCAGTATAACAAAGACACCAACAATCCTATTTGAGAACATTTAAAAGGGCTGGCCCATATTGGCAGCCTAGCCCTCTTGATGTCCTTCAAGCTCTCACCAAACAGAGCAACCTCCAACACACCTCAGCACTACCTGTGAACACCAATAAGGATAAACAGACCCTACAAGAAACTGTGCTCAGATCTGTAACAAGACTCACTTTATGTAACCTCGCAATCTCAACCCACATATAGGCACTCAAGCTCAGCAAAGATTAGCTAAGTACAGAGCAAAAGAAGAAAAATAAAGAAAAAAACTCTCCAAGAATGTAGATCTCTCTTCACTCAACCCCCAACAAAAAACTCCCTCACAAAAAGTACCAGCTTAGTCACCTGTAGACACAACAATTAGAAACAAATTATAACTAGTACTCACATCACTCAACCCTCAAGCTCACAAATCCTCCACACCCTAATTTAGATCTCACAAACACTCAACCCACTTTCCTTAAGATTAGGCCAACTTAACAACCTGCAAACAAACAGTAAAGAAAAAACTTGTTTGTTTATTTATTTATTTTTTGGGTAGCATACAGTCACTCAACCCTAGATATAGAAATCTCACCAGCTTACAGTCGCTCACCCTTTGTTTTTCAATTTTTCTCTCTCCTCATTGTCTGGTGGTGTGTGTGTGCAAGTCGTGATACAGCTTGGAGAAACTCAGGTGACTCTCCAAAAATCACGTGGGAGCAAGGTTTTAAAAAACGGCCGCAACCGTTACGTAACGTCGTTACGTAACGGTTTTGACAGTTACCGCCACCCGTTACGGCCGCTTTTGCAATGTGATTGAGATTCACAGGTGTGTCGGCTGTAGCGGCTGTCGTAGCGGTCGTAACGGCGCCATAACAGCCGTAACGGCTTGTTATGCACCATTACGTAACGGTTTCAAACTGTTTCTTTCGAAAAAACACACAAAAAAAAGCTGAAAATGGGAAAAGGGGGATAGAGAGAAGATGGAAGATAAAGAGAGAAAATTGAGAAGTAAGAGATAGAGAGAGAAAAGAGAGAAGATGAAGAACATGTTATTGATTTGTTGAAGCTGTAAGGCCTATGCTATTATATTCAGCTGCTATCACTCAACCATTTTGTTTGTGTGTGTCTATTTATATATTATTTGAAAATAATAATAATAATAAGTGTGGTCAGTATCTATTTGGCTTGGTTAAAATATGTATATATATATAGGCTCTTATTTATTCTCTTATTTTTATCATTGTTTATCTTATATATATAATAGTTAATGATTGATTTTTTGTATAATATAAAGTTATTAATTATTAAAATAAAATATAAAAAACTCAGTTTATAATAATTTAAAAATATGAAATATATTGGATCATACTTAAAAATTTTTAAAAATTGATCAATATTTATTTTTAACCCAATAAATATGATCATGGAAAAAAAATATGCGTATCGGTAAGTTTTTTTCAAATTGTGCGAAAAATAAAAAAATTCACGGTTCCGGTTACCGCAACCGTTACACTACGGCCTTTACACCCCGCAACCGCAACCGCTCTACCGCCACCGTTACGGCGACCACAACCGCTTTTCAGAACTTTGCGTGGGAGCCATAATCGGACTTAGACTAAGGCCGCAAAAAACAAATTGACATGGAAAAATAGCCTGTGAACGAAGCTCAATTACTGAATTGTGAGAAGTATCCACTGTGTTTGGTTTGAGTTTTCTAAATTAAGTTTTTTGAAAATTGATTTTTTTGATTTTCGTGTTTTTGTCTGGTGGTGTGTGTGTGCAAGTCGTGATACAGCTTGGAGAAACTCAGGTAACTCTCCAAAAATCACGTGAGAGCAAGGTTTTAAAAAGCGGCCGCAACCGTTACGTAACGGTTTTGGCAGTTACCGCCACCTGTTACGGCCACTTTTGCAGTGTGATTGAGATTCACAGGTGTGTCAGCCATAGCGGCCGCCGTAGCGGTCGTAACAGTGCTGTAACAGCCGTAACGGCCTGTTACGCACCGTTACGTAACGATTTCAAACTGTTTCTTTCGAAAAAACACACAAAAAAAAGCTGAAAATTGGGGAAGAGGGATAGAGAGAAGAGGGAAGATAAAAAGAGAAAATTGATAAGTAAGAGACAGAGAGAGAAAAGAGGGAAGATGAAGAACATGTTATTGATTTGTTGAAGCTGTAAGGCCTATGCTATTCTATTCAGCTGCTATCACTCAACCATTTTGTTTGTGTGTGTCTATTTATATATTATTTGAAAATAATAATAATAATAAGTGTGGTCATTATGCTTGATTAAACTATATATACATATATATATGCTCTTATTTATTCTCTTACTTTTATCATTGTTTATCTTATATATATAATAGTTAGTGATTGATTTTTTGTATAATATAAAGTTATTAATTATTAAAATAAAATGTAAAAAACTCAGTTTATAGTGATTTGAAAATATGAAATATATTGAATCATACTTAAAAATTTATAAAATTTGATCAATATTTATTTTTAACCCAATAAATATGATCATGGGAAAAAAAATATGTGTATCGATAAATTTTTTTCAAATTGTGCGAAAAATAAAAAAATTCACGGTTCCGGTTACCGCAACCGTTACACTACGGCCTTTACACCTCGCAACCGCAACCGCTCCACCGCCACCGTTACGGCAACCACAACCGCTTTTCAGAACCTTGCGTGGGAGCCATAATCGGACTTAGACTAGGGCCGCAAAAAACAAATTGACATGGAACGAAGCTCAATTACTGAATTGTGAGAAGTATCACTTTTATGCTTATCAATATCCACAGACAAACAATTTAACAACATCAAAACAGAGAAATTATTTTATATGTAATTAATAATATAGAACTGAAACATCCATACCACAGTTACAATCAACTTATTAAAACAAAACACTCGCCATAAATGACTTAGTGACATATTATATATTTGACTAGTGACATATTATATATATATATTCGTCGGTCTCAAGTCCAAGTGACCTTAACTGGGATGTCACCATAATGACCAAGTGACCTTAACTCGGATCTCACCATGCTGTCCGAAAATATTCTCCTGAGCTGTGCCGGAGTGTTGAGCAGGAAACTCTGCAGTGCCCTTGGCAATCTCACCGTTGTGATCCATCAGACCTGCCCAAACTATGAGGGAGGAGTTGGATGGCACGGCCACCACAGATCTCGACAACGGGATGGGCTGCTCGGGCCTTACATCTACGTGCTCATCTGATTTCTTCCGGAAGAGCACGCTTTCATTCATGAAATTTCCATTGCGAGCAGTAAGCAGTCCGTAAACAGGAAGCGAGTCTTCCCCACCTCGGTTTACGAGCGTAACTTCCACAGTAGCCTCCAGCGCTTTCCTCAACACTACGTAGTTGACCGTCACCGAACCATTCTTGCCAGGAACGTCGTCGTATAAGGGCTCATTATACTTATTGGTGTCGTAAACGTTCCACGGTATCTGCTCGCTGCTGACATCATCGTCCGGAGACAATTTGTCCTTATCCTTGAGAGCCACGTCGATGGTGAAGCTGTCGGAGGCTGAGATGGATCGAGCTGGACCAGTCAGCAAAGCGGTTTCGCCCGGGCTGATGGATTCGTAATGATCTCTTGATCGGTTGTAGATGAATTGAGTACTCAGTCCGTCGGTGACTGTGATTGTGCCGTAGAGCTTCTCTCCGTCGATGCGGTTGATGCGCACCGAGAACACCTCCACCATCGGTCGTCCAATGTGTCCCATGTCTTTGATAAGAATGAATACTTTGGAACAACAACAACCCTACAATAAATAAAGAGTCTAAACGTTATGATATCTCCACAATATCAATGAGACTTTAATGTGACGTTATAAAATTAATGGAATTAATACAAAATTAATGATTATAGTAACTGAAATTTTGAACTGGAAAATCTGGATCTGGACAGAACAAAGAAGAAGAGGAAGATGAATCGAAGAAGAAGACGATGAAGAATCGAAGATGAACTTACCGGAATGTGATCTTTGAAGAATAGAATCGATCTGCACCTTCGATTCTCTTGCAAGTTCTTCGATTCTCTTCAATAGCTTCGCAGGAAGGAGTTCTTCAGCTCTTGGGAGTCTCTCTCTCTGTCTCAAGACAATCAAATGGAATAGAGTAGAACCGTAATTTTAATTTGTTTCAAGTTTTGTTTATTACAAAAGTACCCCAAATTTATATAATTCTTTAAAATAGACCAACAAAATTGCTCCAGTACCCTTTAATATGTAAAAAAATCTCATTTTTTACCCCCCAAAGTATCCAAAAACGTAACCATGGCGTACCCATTACATACCCATCATTATATTGATCGTATAGAACATTCCCAGTGCATTTTTTGCGTAACAAGTACGTGTGCAGCTATAGCGGTACGCGTATTCGCACTCGGTAAGTACCCGATACTTGTACGGTAACAGATTTTAAGTACCCGTGCTTCATAGCCTCCCATTATACTACCTTCCTTCAAATACATTACAAATAAAAAAGGTTCAAACTTTCCTAAGAATTTTTTTAAATCACTTAATTGTTTTGAAATATGAATTCATCTTTTGACGGAGATGCCAACTAAAACTAGTTTCTCCGTACTTCTAAAAAAACACGAGTGAACATCATTTGTTTCCACACAATTCGTGTGCATTCCTTTCTTGGAGGAAGGTAAGAACTAATGTTATAAAATCCGGATCGGTAAGCAAACCGAAAAGGAAATTGAATGGGTGGGTCGCCAGTTCAACCCTGGTTGAACTAGAATCGAACCGTAATGTCATAATTATGTTATAAATATATTAAAATTATATATAAATATTTCTATTGTATACAAATATTTCTTTTAAATATTTATTCTAATTTTTTCAAATATATATATAAATATAATTTATCAAAACAAATTATATATAAATAAAAAATATGTATTAAAATTATGGGTAAATTACTAACACCCCCTCAAAGTTTGACTAAAATAAGAATTCTCCCCTGAGGTTTGGAAAATTACAAATTGTCCCCTGAGGTTTATATTTACATAACAAATGAGTGGGCAATTTGTTATGCAAATATAAACCTCAATGGGCAATTTGTTGTGCAAATATAAACCTCAGGAGATAGGATGTAATTTCTCAAACCTCAAGAGGGAATTCGTATTTTAGTCAAACCTCAAGGGCGTGTTTGTAATTTTCCTAAAATTGTATATAAATATTTATTCTAATTTTTTCTTTTAGTTTTAAAATAAAAACATCATAAATATTTAAATAGTTTATTGGTTTTAATTTTGAAGGGAAACCAAATGTTCAATATTTCCTCCAAACTATTTTGATTAAAATAATTTGATTGAAAGAATATGATTAATTTTGGAAGGATATTAAAATTTCAACTCTCTCTCCAATAAATTTTATTCAAATATTATAGTTGAATCTCATGTGGGTTTCTTAAGTTCTTTTTGAAGACATTTTTTTTTTTTATATAAATAGGGTGAGACTTTCACAATATTTTCAAGCTCTCAATGGGATTCTTCACAAGAAATCTAGGAAGCATAAATACAGATACGAGATACGGGTACGATACGATATGAGACGATACGATACGGATACAGATACGGTGATACAGAAAAAGTTGAAAAACTAGGATACGGGTACGACGGAAATACGTTCGTAAAAAATATTATTTTTCTAATTTTTAATAATGTAGTATGTATACAAATAAAACCTAAAGCAAAAGACAACTTGATAAAAAAGAAAGATTCATGTAAAACTAAGAGTCTTCAAGGTCAATAGCTTCAATTTGTTCCCCGTACCCGAACTCATTTCCTAGAATTTATAAATTTGGTAAGAAATAAAACAAAACATTAATGTAGTTATCGTTTGGCATGAACATCCAAAAAAAAATTCACCAATTCAATTATATTTCAGCAATTCCAACTATATAGCATCATCACCCATAACAACTATAATGCAATTCAAATTAAGGAGTAAAAAAATACCTCACAATAGCTTAGCTAAGCTACAAAAAAAATATCAAAGGAGTTAGTATTAGTACAGTAAGAGGAAGAGAGTGTAAGATTGAGCAAGAGAGAGAGAAAGAGAGTGAGTGAGATTGAACGAGACGGAGAGTGAGATCGAGCGAAAGAGAGAGAGAGAGAGAGAGAGTGTTGTATTTCAATACGTATTTGAATACATGTATCAAATGTCGTATCTGTTGCCATCTTAGATAGTCGAGCCTATTTAGTTGCATTATTGCATGCGTTGCATTAGGCACTTAACATAGTTAGGGTCATGCATACTTCTAACTAGTTTTATGTTTTGGCTCGGAGTACACTGTAAGTGTTTTCGCTTTAGCATCCTTGCATGTGTGTAAGTGACTGCAATGATAGCATGCTTGCCATGAGGCTATTTGCTAAATTGCTATAGCTGCATGAATGCCTATGGATGAAGGCTTCATTACTTGAATTGGAACAATTCATCAAAACGTGAGTTTTAAGCCCACTTTGGGGAGTGGCAAATCATGTTGTTTTAAGCCCACTTGAGGGTGGCAAATCCGCATTTTAGCCTACTTGCGAGTAGCACTTCCAAACCATTTTCGAAAAAAAAAATGAGATGTTTTGTTCCAAATCGAGCGATTTAGTCTATGCTTGTGTGTTGTGCGCATCACATAGTAATTTAGTTAATAATCAAATAAGAACACATGTGTTTTCAAAAACAACATATCATGTTTAGTAGAGGCCGATCCTTTGATCGGGGGAGCGGGGGTGCTTATTTCAGGACCTTCCCCTCTCGTATCCAAGTTCCCCAACCGAGGCACCTTTGTTGATGACGGACACGTGGCCTTTGGCACGAGTCAAGGTTTCTTAAATTTTCCCAAAATAAAATATTTAGGTGGCGACTCTGTAATCTGGCAAAGTAGTCTATGTTTGGCACTTCTTGATTAAAATTGATTTTCCAAAACAATTTGCCGAATTTGGACTCTTTGGTGATTTATCAATCTCACATTGCACTTTGTGAGATTAGATTCAGAACCGTGATAGGAGTCCGAACTGTAGTAGCTATGAACCCAAATCTGCGCCCTCTCCAAAAGGAGGGCGCGCGGAGGAAGTTCGGGCAGTCTACAGTTTCTGGCGACTCTGCTAAGGATTTAGAGAACTTGACTCGAACACCATGATATGTTGTTTCGTTTACACTTATGTGTTTCTTTGCATTACATTTGCATAGGTGCGCCTAAGTCACAATGTTTGCCATCTGCTATTCCTGAACGATTTGCCAAAGGCTCGCTTGAAAAAACATGCCATAAGGCTGACCGGTTACGGGCTCTGCCACGATGGGAACACAAACCTTGGTTTTACTGAGGCACCCTTTTTTTGACCAATCGATCTAGTTGCATATCGGAAGCATTAGAAACTGTTCCAAATTAGGACAGGTTGCTTACTCGAATGCAGGATTGTTTGAAACCGCATGCATGCGTAGTGAAACCCTAGCTCTTGACAAAATAGGACAGGGAAACCCTACCCCATCATAGGGGTGTTTTGGCTCTCAATTAACTAGTATGTGCTTTACAGTGAAACTGTATGGGGATGTGCATATCAGTTGCCAAGTTGGTATCTATTTTGGGGCAGAATTCAGTAGAGAGCGCAGTCACTCAGCTATGCTTATATCTGTTCTAGTGAAATCACGCTGAGATACTGTCTGTTTTCTCTTTTGCAAGGTAGTTCTGGAACCATAGCTTCGAAAGGCTCCAATATCCCCCAGGTACATTGGACTTGTGTTGATAGACTTTGTCAAGTCAGAGATTCAGTTCAAGGGCAACCAGTGTTTCCTTTGCTAGAGGCAAGGCACAGAAAGGCCAGTCATGGCTCATTAGTTCAACTGATTCGACAGTCACCAGTCACATCACCTTTGTTCAAACTCAGCAGACCGTGATGGCACAGAGTCCAGAAGAAGTTGTGGCCATGGTAGCGGCATTAAACCAGGGAATTGCCATGCAGGATGAGACTGTAGACTGCCTGGAGAACTCCCAAGAAAATCCCGTTTTGTTCTCTAGCTACTACAGTTCAGACTCAATGTCACGGTTTTGAATCTAATCTCGCAAAGTGCGATGCAAGACCGATAAATCACCAAAGAGTCCAAATCCGGCAAATCGTTTTCAAAAACTGATTTTTAAGGAAGAAGTGTCAAACATGGACTACTTTGGCAGATACAAAGTCGCCACCTAAATATTTTATTTTGGGGGAATTTAGGAAACCCTGACTCGTGCCTAAGGCCATGTGTCCGTCATCACCAAAGTTACCTCAGCTCGAGAACTTGGGTACGAGAGGGGAAGGTCATGCAATGAGCACCCCCGCTCGCTCGATCAAAGATCGACCTATACTAAGCATGATATCTTGTTTTTGAAAACACATGCGTTCTTATTCCGGTTAATTAGCTAGAATTACTATGTGATGCGCACAACACACAAGTATAGACTAGATCGCCTAATTTGGAACAAAGCATCGCATATCCGTTTGTTTGGAAATGGTTTTGAAGTTTGCTACTCGCAAGTAGACTAAAACACGGATTTCAATGAATCGTTCCAATTCAAGTAATCCAATCTTCACCCACAGGCATTCAGGCAGTTATATCACATAAGCAATTAGCCTCATGGCAAGCATGCTGTCATGTTAACACTCACACACATGCAAGATGCTAAAGCATAAACACTTACCTAGTACTCCGAGCCAAAACAATAGCTAGTTAGTAATCGTGCGTGATCCTAGCTATGTTTAAGATGGCTAATGCAACGCATGCAAAATGTAACTAGAAATTGGCTCGGCTATTCTAAGATGGCATATGAGATGCGACAATTCGATACATGTATTCAAGTAGGAATTGAAATGCAATGCAGTTAGTATGATGCACCGAGCCCGGTGCATGCAATACAGATGAATGGATGCGAGCATGCGAGCATAAGGTATGCTAAATGAAATATGCCCTAAAAATAACCATCGTAAGTGGTTAAGTAAAAGGGAGAAAGAAATGGGGATTGGAAGACATGCATCACGCACATGCACGCTTATTACACCAATTGGCTCTCTCAAGGGAGAGACCGAAAGAATAATACAAACCATCTAATTAACTAACTAACAAGCTAATTAAT